TGATGACACCCAATTGCATCAGCATTGGATGGCCTGGATGCCACCCCAAAAAATCTGGCTATGAGTTTAGAGGCCGTGGTGAGATGGTTAAAAAAGAGCAGGTTAAAATTGAATCTGACAAAGATGGAGGTTCTGTGGCTAGGGGGAGGGGCTTCAGGGATTGGGTTCACCTTACTGGCCCTTGGTGTGGCATCACTGGCATTGGCGCAGTCCATCAAGGGCCTGGGTGTGATCCTGGATACCTCCCTTAATATGGAGGCCCAGGGGACACGTAAAGCCAGGCTGGGATTTTTCCATCTACACCAAGCCTGGCAGCTGGCCCCTTTCCTGTTGCGCTCTGACCTGGCCACAGTAATCCATGCGACGACCACCTCCAGGCTAGACTACTGTAACTCGCTCTATGCTGGCCTGCCCTTGAGACTGACCCGGAAGCTCCAACTGATCCAGAATGTGGCAGCATGTGTTCTAAAAGGAAAACTGCAGACTGCGCATATTCAACCTGTGTTGCGCCAGCTGAGCTGGCTTCCAGTGCAGCACCAGGTCAAGGTTTTGGTTCTGACCTTTAGGGCCTTGAGCCGTCTAGGACCAACATATCTGCGGAACTGCCTCCTCCATTACACCCATTATGCTCTTCACAGAACAACTTGCTGGTGGTCCCCGGCCCTAGAGATATCCAGCTATCCTCAACCGGGACCAGGGCCTTGTTGGAACCTGGTGGAACTCTCTGTCAAATGACATCAGGGCCCTGCGGGATCTTATGCAATTCCACAGGGCCTGTAAGGCAGAGATGTTGAGGACAGTGATGGTTTACATCATAGCTCGCACCCTACCTGGATCCCTATTCCTTGTGGCGTTTACTTCCTCCCCGTGCTTCTGAAGCACTCACAGACCAGATATGGGAAGAAACAATATGCTGGATATGTTTTTATGTTTTTAAAATGTGTACATCGCCTAGAACCCCAGAATCGTGGGGATTAGGCAATTAATAAATATAATGTAATAAATAAATTAATAAATTAAGGAGTGATTAAGCTCCTTTTGACCTGGGCATGACTCCCAGTGGACTGGACTCATAGTGGACTGCACTGAATGCCTCACAGCCATCAAAAATTTCTTCTAGACTAGAATTGGTGGCTTTCTGTGGTTACTGGGCAGGTGGAAAGGTGCTACATTCATTGAAATGTCCTGAAGTAATAAATGTCCAAGCAGCAGATATACAATGTTTAACACTACAGAAAGGGGCGATATTAATTGGAATACATGTTTACCAAGACACAATGCTAATACACCTCCCAATCAGTGTTCCCTCTAAGGTGAGTTAGTGTGAGCTAGCTCATAGTTTTTTAGCCTCTGGCTCACACATTTTTGTCTTAGCACAGGAAGGATGGCTCCAGAGCAAACTACTTTATGCAGTAGTCAAATCGCTCGCTCACGACTTTAATGCCAGTAGCTCACAAAGTAGAATTTTTGCTCACAAGACTCCATAGCTTAGAGGGAGCTTTTTGACTGTTGTTTCCCAATGAGGCACCTAGCTAATGTTTCAGGAAGGTGGGCTTGTGGCTAGCAAGTGGTTCCACCCTTGCAACAGCTGCCACTAGAGGGAGTGAACAGGTAAACTGTGAGCCTTTTGGAGATGTGGGTCTTGTGCCAGGTATGGAAGTAGAGGGCCATTATTTCCAAGAACCCCAGACCATTCACTGCAGCCTCTGCCTCCCCATTCCAGCACCAAGGTGGCTGCCAGGAGGAGAGCAACTTGGCTGCAGAGGAGAGAGAGTAAAACCACCAGCACTATGGCAACCACCACGGAAAAGAAAGAACTGGACATATACTAAGGTAGTGGTGGTTTTATTGCCCTTCCTTCATGGCCAGCTTGCTCTCATATGGCTACTTTGGCAATCTCACTCTCTCAGCCAACCTGCTGTGCCTCATGCTGAGGAGAGAGTGGGGAGGAAGTGACTTAAAATGCACCATCTGTAAATGGGGAAATGAAGAAGATCCTGCAAGGATCACTATTTGACTTTGTGGGCTAAAAGGCCTAGAGCTTGCCTAGGAAATTACACAGCTTTTTAAAAATGCCATGTTCATAACCACTTCAAATTTGGTGACAACCTGTCTGTCACATCTTTGCTCTCAGAATTAACATTGTCCAGTAAGTACGATGAATGGCCTTCCATCAAGATTGCTTTAGTCAGTAAGGTGAGTTGTCATGCAAAAACTCATAGCTGGAAATCTCATTAAACACTGTTAGTTACATAAACCATAGAATGCAGGGATTATATATTTATCATACTGACCCCTTGGTATGTTGAACAAAGCACATAAAAGATAACATAAGTAGGTAAATATTTTCTACATCAGAGTCCTAGTTAATAGGGAAACCCAAAATTCCCAATCATGCATGGGATACAAAGGAAGAGCATGTGCAAAGAAGAGAATTACACATGCAACCCAAGTTTTGCTTTCTTTTTGCCATAAAGCTTCTCATTACTAAACTGACAAGCAACATTTTAAAAGACGGCTGTCTTCTCAGGAGCAGAAACTGAAACAGCCAGAGAACAAAGCCAGTTTTGCTTGTATACATGTCTCCTTTTATTTGGAACGAGGCCATAATCTACAGATCACAGTCTGGATTTGGCAATGAGGGCAACTGTCAATTAGCTCAGTCAAACCTCTCTGTCCCTTTGATTAAAACTCTTGATCAAGGACCTAGTAGCTTCCCATCTTGAATAACGGAGTATATTAGTAATCAGGATTTGTAGAAGTTTAACCTACCTTGCATCTCAAAGGTTCTATAATCATGTTATTTCTAGACCCTAGAGAGGATTATGAGGTGGACCCTAGTGCAGAGGTGTTGAACTCATTTCTTACGAGGGCTGGATCTGACATAAATGTCACTTTGTTGGGCCGGGTCATGTGTGCCATAAAACGTAAGGCCAGGTACTGGAGACAGAAACTATATAAAGGACAGCAGCTGGTAAGCTCCAAGTTGGTGTATCCTCAATGCAAGGCCTCATGGGCTGGGAGGGGGGGTACAAAGGAAAACCCATATGGGTGGCCTGGAGAGCCAGCAGTGCAGCACTGGGAAGACGCTCCCACACTATTGACTGCTGCAGACCATGCTGAAGCCACAATTGGAGTGGCTCCGCCCTCTCCCCCCTGAGCAGTTTTCTGTTCCTTCCTTTGCACCAGTTGCTCACAGGCTACATAAGAGCCCTGGATAGGCCGGTTCTGACCCCCAGACCTTATGTTTAACACCCTGTACCAGTGGATGCACATCAGTGTTATGGATTTAGTCCTACATACTTGAAACCAACTGACTGAACAGCACCAAAACATAAGCCAGATAGCTTTAAGACTTGTAACTTTCCTTATCCACAGTTACTAGTTTCCTTGTACAAAATATTGCAGTCCTGCCCTATCAACCACATTTCCAAAGGGACACAGTGCAATATAAACAGAAGAGAACATGAAGTACAGCATACAGCTCAAAAAGCTGTTTTGTGTCATTTTGGTTTATCATAATAAGGGGTCTAGGAGACTTCAATTTTGAATTTTTCATTGGACCAGCACAGCTACTGGAACCTCCAGAACAGGTATTAGTCATTAGAAGAATGTCCATAAGTGTACAGACTGAATTGTGTGGCCATGGTACACTATTAAAAGGTTAAACTGAGTTTCTAATTCTGACATTCATCATTACAGTTTAGATACAACTAAAGCCTTCCAATTAAAGCGGACACAAAAAGATAGCTACAGACCTTGCTGCAGAAGAGGCAATAGCTTTGCATCATGTCAAATAATTTTTCAAGCCTTCATATTTCCTACAGAATGATGTTTAAAAATAAGAAAACTATTGAAGTTTGTCCAAAATGCCAGCCTGGTGTAGTGCTTAAGAGCAGCGGACTCTAATCTGGAGAACCAGGTTTGATTCCCTGCTCCTCCACGTGAAGCTTGCTAGGTGACCTTGGGCTAGTCACCATTCTCTCAGAACTTTCTCCACCTACCTCACAAACTTCCTGTTGTGGGAAGAGGAAGGGAAGGCGATTGTAAGTCGCTTTGAGACTCCTTAGGGTAGGGTAGTGGGGTATAAAAGCCAAAATGCTTCAAAATCACGTTATAAACAAAATACAGAATTTCCCCCATGCAGTCTGTATTCCCATTTGCTTGCCTGCTGTTCTCCAAAACTTATCTCCCCGCCCCCACTGTGGTGATGAGGAGTTGCTTGCCTGCTGTTCTCCAAAACTTATCCCCCTCCCCCGTGGTGATGAGGAACACACCAGTACACAGCTTTGCCCTACCAGCATGGGCACAGTGCATCCAGTGAGGAGCATAGCAGCACTGGGTTTCATCCTGTGCCAGGCCAGGCATACTGGGGTTGATGAGCAGGAAGACAGCTCTGCACTGCCAGCCCAGGTACAGTGGGAGCTGAAGAGGAGCACAGCAGCACCCAACTTTGCTTCTGCTGTCTCAGGAGAAGTGGGGCTGATGAAGAGGCGCATGGCAGTGTCCAGCTTTGGTCTGCCAGCCAACCGAGGTCAGCTCAGGAGGAGCATGGTGTTACCCAGCTGACAAAGCCTGTCCCCTGGCAAGGAGAAGCATGCTGGTGCATCCCTTCCGGCAGCCTGCTTTTTACCCCTCCATCAGGTGTACGGGGACGTGGGCATGCCTTTTGGGCTCCTACAGTGCCAGATTAAAATGCATTTCTTTAGAAAGTGTAAGGCTCTCAGGACGGCTGTGGTGTTTAAAGGCCCTGAGGAAGAAGGAAAAGTTTGTCTTGAACTGCCACCTCAGGCTTGAACCACAAGACAGAAAGGAGGGCAACGCCTCCACGGCAAGCCCTAGCGGAAAGAAACGCGACGTGCTGAGGCTACTCAAATGCCCCCTTCTCTATACACGGCGAGTGTCTCCCAGAAAAGAGAGACCCTCACAGAAGAAAGGAGGGAGGGAGAATGTTTCTATGGAGACGGTTTCCACAGTGACGCGAGGAGCCCCTCCCTTACCTGCTGCTGGATCTTGCCGTCCTCGGTGACCACCCAGTGTGTGGTGGCTGCGCCGGGCCGTGGCACCAAGCCTAGCAGCAACAAGAAGCCTACTACCCAGCCCAAGGGGGCACGCGCCGGCTCTCGACCACCCCGTCTGGGCACTCCTTCTGCTACTACCACCGCCATCTTCCTCAAGCCCGGCCTGACCGTGCTACCCGGAAGCGGAACTGCTGAAGCCGCCATCTTGGAGAAGGACGGATGGGAAAGAAGGGGCTGAGTTAGGCAAACCAGAGCCTGGGAAACAGAGAGTCAAAGAGGTGGATTCTTTTCGGCCCCTCCCGGGAAGAGCAAAAGAGATAACAAAGGGGGCGTTGCCGAAAGGGATCTCTGCATCTGCCTCAGTTTAGTTCCCCAGGACGTCAGTCGTGTTCACCGACAAAAAGTGGCTGTAAACCGCTCTCGCCCCGTCCTGTGAACCGTCAGTGGCGGGCGGGGAACCCGAAAGGACAGCGCCTCTTCCCACCAACACATCTCAGCATGCAGATGAACAGCCGAAGAGCTGGCTGGAGGAACAAGGCGGCCCGCTGCGCTTCTCCCCATCGTGCCCGAGCTGAGCTTATGGTGTGTTCCTGGACGAGCAGGGAGAAGAAGCTGGGTTCTCCTGAGCCCGGGCCTGGAAGATGGAGCTGGCTTTCGCCGCGCTTGTCCTCAACGGCCGCACCACGCTCAGGGCAGCGGGGCGAAGGTGCTGCTTCTCGTTGGCCGTACCGTAGGGCCGAGGTTGTGTAACAGACTGTCTTCCAGCCTAGCGGCCCATCGGGATTTTTGGTAAATTTCTCATTTCCCCTTCCCCGAAATGGGAGAGAGGGCGGCTTGCGGGGTTCTTCGGCCCGCGAAGTGACGGACCCTGCCCAAGACTCGTTTCACTTTCCCATATTTCCATGGCTGTTGCCTCACTAGTATTCCGCACTTAACTGGATTCATTGAACTTAGAGTGGCCCCCTACAGATGACCCCCCCCCCGGCAAGAACGCTCAGGAAGTCCAAATTTGCACATGCCAAAATCACTAGCTATCCAGCTGCTGTTACAGAACTTGTCAAGGCCCCTGCTCAGCTTGTTTAGCTTTAGTAGCCCTTTTCCCTACTACAAGTAGCTCGGGGTACTCTGCAATTGCTCCTGAATCTAGTCCTCACAGCTAGTTTTATTGGAAACAGACTTGACATTTCAGAGGACATACCTCAGAAAAAGAAGATATTTAGCCACCGCTCAAGAACTACTTCCCTCAGTCTTCCACTAAACTATACTCCTGAAGTCAAAGCATTTTTCTCCTGAAATTGTGCACAGGTATAGTGTTTTCATTTAACAGCTGTGCCCATGCAAATCAGCTACGGGTTACAGGTACAAACTTGATGTAAGGCATGGTTTCACACATGCAGGAGAAACTGCAAATAGCAAACTAACACAACGGGTAAATGTTTACTTCCTCTCTTTGCTTGTGCTCAGGTTCTGTTTGTTGCAGGGAGCATTCAAAAATGTGAACCTTCATCTGTAGTAGAACAGCCTATTCCAGCACCTTAGCATTCTAACTCCTCATTCCCTTGCTTGTATAAATTGGGCCTAAATGAGATGCTATGGTTCAAACAAGTGCCAGAAACAATAACTCCTCATTCCCTTGCTTGTATAAATTAGGCCTAAATGAGATGCTAGGTTCAAACAAGTGCCGGAAACTATGAAAATCTGCTGAGCAAAAAAAAGAATGAACAGCTATCCAACATCCAGATCTTTCCAGAAAAAAACTAACACACTATCAGCAGCTGTCTCCAATCTAAATTTGAGCTCAGGAGACTTGCAAGCAACTTTCTGAGAATGAAATCCAGGTATCTGCATTATTCCCACAGATGTAATAAAACAAAAGGTGCTTTTTTGGATAAATGACATGTATACTGTGGCTCTAATTTTTACCATTTATGAAGGTAGTAATTGCCTGGTGTACCCCTTCAGCAATTTTTGCAAACCGCATTTTCCTGCCAATAGACCCAAGTACAAATATTACACAGCTAAGCTGTTTAATCTAAATAAATCACATTTAACAAACTATACCATATCACCTCAATCAATAAAAATGCTCACATCAGCCCCATTAAATCAGTTCCAAAAATCCAGGGACTATTTATTTTGATCGAGTACAAGGATGCCTTTACCAAGTTATTAAAAACCAATAAAACAGTGTCACTTACAAAATGGATTTATTGCAAAGGCATAAAGAAAATTTTTACAAAGAAAATGAAGTGGTTCAGTGGGAATCACCTAACAAGTTCACTTTATCTGCAATGCAAAGTACACACTAGCTATTTCTAAGGACAATCTGCACATTATCTCTGGATGGAAAAAAAATCTGAGTTCATCTTGTTATTTAAACTCGAGGGTCCTGTCAAATAAAACAAAAAGACTACAAAGCAGTGTGCAATGATTAAACATTCTTAAAAATGAGTCTGAAATTCTTAGAAAAGCTGCAAATTGCCATAATTGTCAAAATATGCAACATACTGAAGTGAGAGATAATGTTCTATTTTAAACTGGCCAAGTTTCTAGAGAAACAATGAGATGTACATGTTTTTATTTAGTTACAGCTTCTCTGTTCTTTCACATACTTGAAATCAAGTTATCTAAAAAACACTTGTCAGCATGAGCAGCTATGGAGTAAAAAAAAACAACCCTTAACTTGAACTTTGTTCTGGCCTTCCTAAACATTTTTGACCAGAAAAGCTTGTGCTAGCTATAGGAAACAAGATTGTAATAATCACAGAAGTATGATTATGAAGACATCCTTGTCCAATTTATAATTGTTCACAATACACACAAAGCCTCTTGGGAATTCATTTACATACAGATGTTTGGTTTGCAGTACAGATACTAAAATGCTGGAAGGAAATGGAACAGCTTGCAGTCATCCAAATAAAGCATGAACTTGGGTACCTTGTGTCTGCCATACTGGTTTTCTCTCTTAACTGACATTTACATTTTATGATACTCCTGAGTGACCCAAGAAATGAATAAGTGGTGAAAACTAAAAATTAGGCTTGATAGATTCTCTTTAATATAGTTTAAGGGCATCTAGCATTAAAATAAGGGTCCCCATTACATAAAGTTTACCTAAATTTCTATCCAAGTGCAACTGAGTAGGTGAACATTACTGTCATCTAATATACCATGTTTAACAATTTAACATGGCTATTTAACTATGAAAAAGTCAAACAAACTACATCTAAATGCAAGCCAATTTAAATTATCAGTTCACAGAAAAAGTACTACTTTTCCCCAGACCTTGAAAGAATTGCCATCACATCACAAATTTGCTGTTCTGGGGGCAGCGTTTCTAACAGGTTTATTATTTTTCAGTAGAATTTTATGGCATATGCATATATTATACATATATGCATGCACACACATACATTTATAGAGAACATTACAACGCCATTTGCAAAACACACATTATGCTATCTAGAGAAGAGCAAGATGTGTTCAAGTAAACACCACATTCTCCACATAAGTAAGTAGACTGACTTCTGATAACAGCACAGAGTCTTCTGTATCCATGTTGCACACTTTAAAAATTAAGAATTTCTATCAACAAGCAAAGCCACCACTGGCAGCCTATACTATCTTTTTTGCAACATCACTCTTCCCCACTTATTGCAAAAAATAAATTTTCTCTGAAGAAAACCTGCTACCAACTAGTTATGACACTTCCATTCATTATTTACCATGTGAACATAGTTAACACTATAGAGTCCACTGCATATAACCCATATTTATGATGAATGTAACATCTGTACTGAAGTAGGTTCAGTTGGAACACCCATGCTTTTTCTTGAACAGACATGAAGATGCTTTAAAAAAGAAACATAACCAATACGTCAGATGCTAAGCATCCAAAAATGCAGTTGTAGCTTCACTGTGGATGTGTCTGTAGTCCGTTAGAAAAGTAGATCATACATACAAAGGGATAAGAACATTTATATCAGTCTCTTGCAGAAGGCAATCCATCAAGCAACGTAGCACTCCAGTCAATCCTTCAAACTTTAAAGATGTTTTAGCACATCTTTTAGCCACAATGCCCATGGAAAATGCTGTTTTTTTCAGTAGATTCTTCCACGACTGCGATTACCACGTCCACCCCATCCTCTCCCTCGTCCACCACGAAAGCCACCTCTCTGTTCTGAAAACAAAGGAAAACAAAGTTTTTCCCCTCATATCTGTTGTTTAAAGATTTTACAAGTATAGCAGCAATACCACTAGTGATGATTTTGCTTCTAAATACAGATGTCAGCTTTTATTATTTAACATATTTATACACCTTCTTTCTTATCAGGCCCAACGTTTGACCACGAGCATACAGTCAAAAAATCCAAAAGAGCCCTAAATTGTAACAGTAACCACTACCACCAAACTACTAAAGACAAGTCTCAATCATACAAAGTCCTTTGAAAGAAGACAGTCTTGCAGGTGTGCTTTGAAAGGCCAAAGTTGGGGCCTTATAAACAGCTCTGGGAGGCCAATTCACAATACTGGGACAATAAATGAAAGAGACTGGAAGTGGACAGAGGCAGAAGATGAGGTGAAGGGACCCAGGAAAAACTGCTGTAAGGATCAGTAAAGACAACAGGAAGAGCTGTTTTTTTACACAGTCAAGTTCCTCCATGTGATCATGAATAAAGGACATGACTTTCTTTGCCTGGGGCTGAATACAGGCCCCACTCTCTGCTGTTGCTGCTGGGAGGTAGGGGCTGTGGGCCTCTGAATTCTAAGACTCCTCCACATCAGAGGCATGAGTCTTTGGCATGAGGTGAAAGGGCTCCTGGCCTGTGGCTCTTAGCCTGGGGACTGGACCTGGGGAAGCTGCATCAACCACTAATTAGTTGTGATGGTAAAAAGCCAGTAGGGGAGTGGGGGGTATCAAGTGTTATCTACCCACTGGGTGGAAATCATGGGTATGTGCTCACAGCTCTCAGGAAGCAGGTTCATTCCCTTGAGGGTAGGGTTGCCCACCTGGGGAAGCTGAGGCAGAAAGAGGTTTGGGGAAGAGACCCTCAGGAATTTACCAGAACAGTCCCACTCCTCTGCTGAAGAATCTGGGACTTTTCAATTGAGAAAAGAGATTGCAAGGAGGGACATGATATGCATGAGATGGCCAGAG